CGTTAGAGCGTCGCGAGACGGAGGCGCTCGATGAGTTGCGTCGCGCGCGCGGCGACGCCCTGGAAGAGTTAAGACGACTCCGAAGCGTCGAACGCGTTCGAGTGATCGAAGCGCCTCCGGAATCTCCACCGTCACCGTCGTCTCGACCGTCCAGTGCGCGTCGCGCCGCCCTCGACGACGTCAGACGGGAGTTGAGTGAGCTCGCGACGTAGGGACTGTATTAGCTGACCAATTAGTATCTTATTTCACGCCGACCGACGAGCGCGCGACGCCGAGACGCGCCAAATCGCGATCGCGATCGTTCACGTGCATCTTCATCTTCGATTAATCGCCCGAGACGCGGCTCATCAACGCGTCCACTTGCTCCGCGAGCTCCTTGCGCGACTCCTTGAACAAGACGTACCGGTACACGAACCACGTCGAGTACCCCAAGCCGACGAGTTCCATCACCTTGGGCAGGAGCGGGACGACGTTAATCGCACCAACGAGCGTGGACGACAGCCACACCGCCGCCGTCGCGCCCGCCACGTACGTGATCACCGTGGACTTATTCTCCGTCTCCTCCCACTTATCGGCGATCGTGCGCAGGACGTCATCCGCGTCAAACTTTTCCGCGCGCGCCACCGTCGATCCGCGCGTCATCGTCCGCGCCATCATCTGCGTCACCACACCACACCATTCGTTTCGTCAGTCATCCCGTTCGCATCGCGCGCGCGTCGCGCGTCCGTCCCACGCGTTCCAATCATTCGCCCGTGGCCAATCATCATAATCATTCCCCCGCGATGCCCATCACCGCGCGCGCATCGCACGCACCGGCGCGCGCGCGCCCATGGCCCGCGCGGTCGTCGTCGCCCGTCGCGGCGCGGGCGTTTTCACCGCCACGCGCGCGGCGGCGGAGACGGAGACGTGAGCGAGCATGTCGATCGGTCGTCGAGATACGTTGTGCGGTCGACGTCGGCGCGATCGACCGAGATCGCGATCGACGCCACCGGTCGATGGTACCGATCGATCGATCGACGGCACCGATCGATCGATCGATGGCACCGGTCGATCGATCGATGGATCGATCGGGGAGCACACCGGGGGTGTGGGCGAACAGTGCGCGCGGGGCGGATCGTCGGCGGGCGCGGACGCGGACGGCGGCCGGGACGGCGCGCGCGGACGATGGGCGCGCGCGTGGGATGGGCGTGCGATGATGCGAGTGCGTGGATTGATACCGCGCGGTCGGGGTGGTGGAGGGTGGGGACGCGAGGGTCAGAGGGCGAATAACACGAGGCTGAGCGCCATGAGCGCCATGCCGACGAAGACGTAGGTGGTGACGACCTCGTCGTGGGGGTCGTACTTGAGAGCGGTCGGGATGAGCTCCTTGACGGAGATGAAAACCATCATGCCGGCGACGAGGGCGAAGAGGGAGCCGAACGCGGCGGGGGACATGTCGTTGCCCTTTAAGACGCCGTATCCCACCAAGGCGCCGACGGGTTCCGTCAAGCCGGAGACGAAGGACCACCAGAATCCCTTCCACTTGCTTCCGGTGGCGTAATAAATGGGCATGGCGACGCAGATCCCCTCGGGAATGTTGTGAATGGCGATCGCGACGGCGAGCGCGGCGCCGAGCTTGGTGTCCTCCAGCGCGGCGACGAACGTGGCCAAACCTTCGGGGAAGTTGTGCAAGCCGATGGCGATGGCGGTGAGCACGCCCATGTTCCTCAACTGCTTCGCCTCGAGCGGTTTATGATGGACGTCCGTCATGTCGACGTTACCCACGCCCACGCTCATCACGTTGTCCTCCGGCGCCGTCGTCCGATCATCATCGGTGTTCGCGCTATCGTCGCTCTGCGTCTCCGACCTCGCCATCCCTTTCTCCATCTCCGTCACGTTCCTCACGTGCGTCTCCAAATCGCCGTGAATACAAAAAATATCGTTACGCTGCTCCCCTCTCGGCGTGTCCGGCACCTCCTCATCGCTCGAACTCGTGCGTCCGCGCCACCACTTTCTCGCGCGCCGTCCCACCGACGGCAACTCGTGCACGACGGCGTCCAGCGCGTACATGAACGTCAGCCCTCCAAAAAAGCACAGCGACGCGTACCGCATCCCACACGCCCCGTCTCCATCGCACACCTCCGTGAACGCCTCGACGCTCTTCACGCCGTAAATCTCCGCGAACGAGACGTATATCATCACCCCGGCGCTCGCCCCGAGGCTTCGCGCGAGCGCCTTCGTGTTCGCCCTCGCGCTACAGAACACGAACGCGCTCCCGATCGCGGTGGACAATCCGGCGGCGATGACGAGCGCGAACGCGCCCGCGACCGCGCCGCGTGATCTCTGCGCTCGTCGTCGTCCACGTCGCGTCGTCAGTCGTCACGTCACTCGCGTCGTCGTCGTCCACATCGCGTCGTCGTCGTTCCGTGGTCCATCGCGCGTCGACGCGCGCGCGCGGGACGCGGGCGACGACGTCGTCGACGCGTACCTCGACCGCCATCGCGCGTGCGCTCGGGCGCGGCGTCGTGGCGCGGCGTCGCGCGCGATGTGGGCCACGGGATGATGTCGAGTCCCTCTTTTGATGAGTCATGACTCGTGTGTGAGCGCACACATCACGACGCACGCGACATCGCGCGCGCGCGCCGGCGCGACGTCGCGCGCGCGCGACGGGACGGGACATCGCGCGCGGGACGACGCCGCGGACGCCGACGCTCGATCGC